AACATCCACAAAAATAAGTTTTACTTCACGTTTTGTCCCTTTTTCCTTGAATCGTTTTTCTTCTAGAAAAAAGATGTGATAGCACGCATACTATAGGTATGAAAATTATGTATATCGTCTTTAAAACATTTTTATTGTATGGATAAAAATCAAATGAGTACCAAATGCAGAAGTCAAGGGATTAAGTTGACTATTTTTAGTTGCTAGGAGATACATAGCACATACATAATTTGGCAAAGTAGAGTTGTCAACAAACAAAGCCAAACTTAAGTTTATGTAAGCTTGGGTTCGATTTGTTTCAAGTTTAATTCTTAGTGTTCGAGCTCGACTCATAAATAATTTAACTTGTTTGGGATGAACTTGTTTATAAGGCAATCCTAAATGAGCCTAAACTCAGCTCGAGCTCGCCACAATTAATAGTTAAATATCAAGCTCGTTTGTGCATTTAAAGTCGTTAAAAATGTCATTTTATCATTATTTGATATTTTTAATATCTAATATTTAATTATATGATAATAGTTTAACATACAAAATTAAAATTATATATATATATATATATGCTTGTTTAGATTCACGAGCCTAATCAAGCTCGACAGATGATAAATCAGCTCGAGCTCTTTTAATAAACAAGCCTAAAACTAAGCTTGAGTTTCGTAATTCTGGTGATTTTTGCAATTCATTTATGATAACAAAACATGTGATTTCTTGGATTTTAAAAGTTGGCTTATTTATTTAATTGTTTATTTTCAAAATTTTGTTTTTAATTTTGATTTTTTTTCATTTTGATTGTACTTCCCAAATTTGTCTACATTATATATATATATATATATATATATATATATATATATATATATATATATATATAATAGTATATTCAATAGGAAGATGATCAAATCTAATGTTTAATTGAATCGGTTCAGTTTGTTTAACCATAGTAAATTAGATTAGATCGGTGCAAATATTAAACATTAAGGTTACTTTAAACCTTTTGAACTAGTCGCTCACAAAAGGAAACTAGAATCATCCATAATCCAAGGTGTAGCTGAGATAATACTTTAACACTTAAGTTAGGGGTACTTAACTCAATAGAGTTGATTGTTACTTCTCATGAGGGAGGATTTGTATAATGTTTGTGGAATGGGGAAATGTCTTCCTATTTTACCAATTAAGACACGTTTTACAATGTTTTTTTTACAAATGATTGTAAGAGTGTCTGATCATATGTTGGGTTCAGGCCTTCTGACGCCACGATAATTGTTTGGTTGTGGCGAGATATATAATGCTCATGTCATGTTTTGGATTTGGTCATGTTGTTATTCAACGTGGCTCGTTGTTGTATAGTGAGAGCATTATGGTGTCGATAATCGGTCTGACCATTGTATTAGGTAACGGGCCTTTGGTGTGGAGTCTTGCTAATATGGTACAACACTAACCCTAAACATGAGATTTGTGCATTATTTTTGTCTCTAAACCCGACAACATAAAAACTCAACCATTAATTCAATCAAAATGACAAAATCATACAAATAGTGATGTTTTGTTCATTTAATTTTGTTTGATTCAACATACAAATTTATAGAAGAAAATAGTAGTTTTAATGCTTTTATCAAACCCCTTAAAAAAGCCAAATCAAATTCATTAACTTAATTTTTTTTTTTCATTTTGATTTTATTGTTAGATTGATTTACATTAGAAACATTACAAAAATAGTCATTATGGTATGTATTTTTTCTGAGTTTTAGTCCAAACCATGATTTTTTTTTTGTTTCGTGATCATTTTGAGCTAGTTTCGTTATGAATTTGATCTCTCAGTAAACTGAAATGACTTTAATACCCTTGGACATTTAATTTATATTTATTTTCATTTTTTTAATCTAATATGATTTTTTTATTTAAATAATTAAAATAAGAGTTTCTCTCTCTCTCTCTCTCTCTCTCTCTCTCTCTCTCTCTCTCTCTCTCTCTCTCTCTCTCTCCACGTTTACTAACTGACATAATCACACAATTCAAAAGAGCCTTGATTATCTTTGAATTTTGTCAAACTTGAAAACATAAAATCAATTTGCAAATGGAATTATATGCAAATTCTGTTGAATGATATCGAAGACACCTCGATCGCCTGTTTCTTCATTTTTCTGAAAATCTATGTTTTATATATAAAAAATAACAAAAATGCAAATAATTTATTCCTCCCCACACTTTTCTCTCTCTCTCTCTCTCTCTCTCTCTCTCTCCCTCTCTCTCTCCATATTTACTAACCGAACATCATCACAGAGCTCAAAAGAGCCTTGATTATCTTTGAATTTTGTTAAACTTGGAAACATAAAATCAATTTGCAAACGGAATTATATGCAAATTCTGTTGAATGATAATGAAGACACCTCGATCGCCTGTTTCTTCATTTTTCAACAAATCTATGTTTTTTATATAAACAATAAATAAAAATGCAAAGAACTTAAGGATATATACACTAAAGTCCCAAATATTTTCATCGATTTGACAAGAAAGTTCTAAAATTTATTTTTTTGACAGTAAAGTTGTAACTATCAACAGTTTTTGACACATTTACCCTTTTTTCTAGTTTAGCCGGTAATTAGGATTTTTTTTGTCAAAAAAATAAAGTTTAGAAATTTCTTGTCAAATCGTGAATTAAGACTTTACTGTAAAAAAAAAAAAAATTAAGTTTAGGACTTTTTTGTCAACTTGTTAAAAATATTAGGACTTTAGTGTATTTTTGTAACCCAAAAATTTTTAATTGTGACTTTTGTTGCAACACCACTATTTTTCTTACCATCATCATATTTAACCTAATACAATCAGGATTAGGAGAAACAGATGCAAAAGAGAGAGCGAGAAATGGTGAAAAGATTTGTAAAACTTTCTTGTTGCTTCACCGACAAATCTTAAACTAAAAATTGGACAGATTCTACCAACACAAACAACACATGCCTAGTCAAAAGGGTGTGAATGTGGAGAATGGGTACAAAGGGCAATTTTTTTTTTTTTTTTTTCGTTTCCTTAGTCTCTATTTTTGGTACTGCAAAAAGTCAACACGATCCTGATTCTTTCTTTCTTTTTTTTCTTGATTATCTCGATTTTCTTTTAGTGTCAGTTAAACTATTTAACAAGAAGCAAACGTTAAGGATTTAATAGGATCTAACTAACTAGAGAAGATTTCAATAACTCTTATGTTTAAAGAGTATCATACCATTAAATTTCTAACCAGAAAATTGATATATACACTAAAGTCCTAATATTTTCAACGATTTGACAAGAAAATCCTAAACTTTATTTTTTTTTACAGTAAAGTCATAATTCACGATTTGACACGAAAGTCTTAAACTTTATATTTTTGACAAAAAAAAAGTCATAATTACCGGTTAACAGGAAAAAAAAAAGGTAAAAATGTCAAAAACAACCGGCAATTAGGACTGTACTGTCAAAAAAATAAAATTTAGGATCTTCTTATCAAATCGATAAAAATATTGAGACTTTAGTGAATATATCCCAAGAATTTAATTCTCCCCACACTTTCGTATCTCTTAGGGGGAAAAGTTTCCATAGTCCTTATCAGGAATCGCATGGAACCAATATTTCCCCTTGAATCCTTGATGACATATATCAATTGTTGCTTCAAAATAAAATTTTGAAACCAAAACTAAATCACACAAAAACTCCTTTTAACACACTTGAAATCTCACCATAAACCAAGGCAAGAACTCACTGCCTCATTATTCTCTATAGTTTTTCGGCGAGAAACAGATGAACTTCCAGTTTTGTGGCTCAACGAGGTATTCACTCATTGCAGTGTTACATATGGTAGAAATCAAAGGCATGTGCAAGCATTTCCAATATAAGGAGCACCTACTAATTTTATACATCAATTACCATCCCATAACACAAACCCATTTATGAGTTAAGGCTTCATATGAACGAATTGATAGCTTTTTAAGTTTCAAAATCAAAACTTACCATGGCCTAAAGCCAATAATTGAGTTTCGAGTTGACAATCTCACAAAATCAAACCTGTAAATTGTCGACAAGAAGAAAACAACTAGAGACTATAGGATTTCAGAACCCAAAAACCAAAACCGTACTTCCTTCTTCCCTTTCCTCATCTACTTTGAGTTATTGATTCTGAAAGACCTGAGAGAAACGTAGAAAACCCAGAACACAAAATCAAAAGCATTCGAAACCCCTTCACACATCTTCTTCAAAACCCAGATCTTAAAGCTTCAATTTTGTCTATTTACTGAACCAAAACCTAAAATATCGACTTTTTTTCTCTACTATTGTATGCGTCTTAAACAAAGATCTTATAGATTTGATTGTGTGTGTTCTTCAAGAGACATCAGGGATGGAGATGCTAGAGATCTCCACACGAATAAATCAGTTTGTAGAGAGACATTTTTTGAAGATACATTGCATTAATGGTAAAGAAGATAAACAAGTCTTCCTATGTAATTCTTCACCCAGTCAACTTTCATCTAGAGAGAGGCCCCTCTTTTTTTAATTATTATAAATAAATAACTATTAGATTTGAAAAAATAAAAGAAAAATGAAAAATAAATATTTCAATTTACTGATGGATCAAATCCACAATGAAATTAACTCAAAATGACCAAAAACTAAAAAAATCGAAATTTAAACTAAAAGTAAACAAAAAAAAATACATACTACAAAATATTTTTTAGACCTGACAATTCGTGTATTCGTGTCATGAAAACGTGTTATCCACGAATTTGACACGATACGATTACACGATGTGAAATACGCTTTATCTCAATTTTCAAGATAAATTTATATCGTGTTTTCGTATTATGTCGTGTCTCTCACATATTTATATATTTTTGTCTGAAATTATCAAATCACATTTTTATGGTCATCATTACATTATCTATATGTTCGGAATTGTGAAGGGACCATTTTGTAATTCTACCCTATATAGCATACTTTTTCCATTCCCACCCTTTTTTTCTGAATACAACTTTCCGGTGTCCAAGGCTGTTACTTCTTTCCACTTCGCTATTTTATTTCATCTATCTATCTCTCTCTCTCTCTCTCTCTCTCTCTCTCTCTCTCTCTCTCAATACTCACAAGAAAACAGAGTAGCGACAGCCATGGCAGCCAACAAATTTGCAACCATGGTGCACACGAACACGAACAACATCACACTCATTCTCATCTATGCGGTTCTTGAATGGACACTCATACTTCTCCTCCTCCTCAACTCTCTCTTCTCTTTTCTCATCATCAAATTTTCCCAATTCTTTGCCCTAAAGCCACCCTGCTTGTGGTGTTCTACCCTCCATCGCTTCTTAGAACCCGAAAACATCAATTCCCACCGCGATCTTCTCTGCGAACTACATTCCAAAGAGGTTTCCATCTTGGGATTCTGCCCAAATCACAAAAAATTGGCAGAAATCAAATCATTGTGTGATGATTGCTTTTCATCTCATCTCGATTTCCAATGTGAGGTCAAAGAGAGTGATGGCGGAGATGAAGATGAACAGAACTTGAAGTGTTCATGCTGTGGTTTGAAGTTTCATAAGAAAAGTTTTGATAGTTTTGTAGTGACTCGGAATTCTTGTGATGTATTGGAGCATACTAAGAGCGAGGGTTTGATCAAAAGTTCCAATGATCAAGTTGGATCAGATTTAATGGAAGAAACCCTTCAAATTCACAGCAAAAAAGTGACTCGGATGAATAATGACGGGAAAGATACATGGGATTCAAATACTTTTGAAATTGAAACAGAATTGAATGAATTTGAAAAGAAGGAAGATTCAACTTCTGATTTTCTCCCACAAGATCTCGAATTCTTCTTTGATCATAGTGGTAATCAGTTGGTACCTATTGAATTAGTTGACTCAACAACGGAGGAAAGTCAAAACGTTTCTGAAGCTGATGAAGATCATGCGTCTGGAGATAACGAAAAAGCTCTGGTAATCCAAAACCATCAGATGACAGGGCTTGAATCCACGGAGTTGAAAGAAACTGAGAATTCTCTTGTTTTACATGCAAAAAACAGTGAAGTCATTTATGAAAAATCCGCCATTGTTCAAGAAACTCAAACCCTGTTCATCGAAGAACTTCAAGAAAATGCAGTAGGAACAGAGAAATCCGATCCAGATACTCATCTGGGTAATTTACATCTTGCAAGATTTTCATTTCGATTTTAATTTCCATGGGAATGATTTTGTTTACTCATGTTTACATTTCAGTTCATGAAGAAGCAGATGTGACAATTGGAACAGAGATTACTGTTCTTGACTTATGTGTTGTGGAACCTTCATCCATTTCACATGATATACATGTAATTGAAAATGGTAAAGATTTTCATATTCTTTCAAGCTCTTGAAACGTTCTTCCCTGATTTGATGCTAATTTCAAGAATAATTTGATTATACCAGGTCTCGAATCAAATAAATCAACTGAACGCTATAATCAGATTGAGGAAGAGAAAATTCCCAATACACCCCATTCGACTGAGAGCTTAAATCAACCAAACAATAATTTGTTGATGATAGAGGCAAAGGAATCGGGGGCAGAAGAGTCATTTGACACCGTGGAGAAGCTAAAATCAGCTTTACAAGCTTTGTATGCTGAGTTGGAGGAGGAGAGAGGCGCTTCAGCGGTAGCTGCCAGTGAAACAATGGCGATGATCAACCGGCTTCAAGAAGAGAAGGCGGCAATGCAAATGGAGGCCTTACAATATCAAAGAATGATGGAAGAACAATCAGAATATGATCAAGAAGCTTTGCAACTCTTGAATGATCTTATGGTCAAACGGGAAAAGGAATTGGAATTCTATCGGAAAAAAGTGGCGGAATATGAAGCGAAGGAAAGATGGCTTTCGCAGGGGAGTGAAAAAAGTGGGGCGGGTTCGGATTCTTGTAGTCATTCCGAGGAGGGGAATGGAATCCCAATTAATGGGAACCAAGAGAGCTGGAATCGGGATACCCATGATGACGGTTTTCTCGATCTTGAATCTTCGTTAGCGGATTTTGAGGAAGAAAGGTTGTTGATTTTTGAACAAGTTAAGGTTCTTGAAGAGAAGCTTTTTGCTTTAAGTGACGAAGAGAATCAACGGATTGAGGACGTAAGACCTATCCAAGATCTTGATGAGGAAAACGAGAAAGTTTATGAAAACGGATTTGAGACCATTGGTTCACCGGAAAACGGATTCCATTCCGATGCCATTGGAATAGAGAGCGAAGGGAAGGTGATAACATTAAATGGATTCCATTCCGGAGAGTTGGAAAACGGGAACATTGGAAAGAGGAGGGGTGACTTCGAAGAGGAAGTGGATCAAGTTTATGGAAGGCTACAAGCTCTTGAAGCCGATAGAGAGTTCTTAAAACATTGCATTGGATCATTGAAGAAAGGTGACAAAGGAATGGAACTACTCCAAGAAATCTTGCAGCATTTACGTGATCTTCGAACCATGGATCTTCAATGATGAACGATTTATTTGATATGTTTTTAATTTTTTTAAAGTGTCAAATTTTAAGGATGTTTTGGTCATTTCCTTATGATCACCTTTTTGTGGGAAAAGGGGATGAGTCATGAGTGTTTGTTTTTGTAGGGTTGCAAATTTAAACAAGGATCCAATGATGACAATTTAGTTTCATTATATAAAGTCGTAAGTCTAGGAATTTAAATTTTAAATGTTTAACAAATGATATTTTTGTAAAGTAAAAATAGAGGGCAAGTGACCCTTTGTAAATATAGTTGATTGTTTGATTGTAAATGCTTATTCGCCACCACTTGAGTCATGGTTTCAAAATAAACGGATCGCAAGGAGGTGCAGGAGGTGTTCCCGTACATTGGAACATAGCACTCTTCCTATGGGAAAGGAGGTGCAGGAAGGGAGTGGGAGATAGAGACCCCACATTCTCTTTTCTATTTTGATTGGTTAGGTTTTTCTTTTTTCTTTTTTTTTTTAATTTTTTAATATTTATTAAATTATATAACTACTAAAAAATTATATATATATATATATATATATATATATATATATATATATATATATATATATATATATATATATATAAAGAGAGAGAGAAAGAGAGATGTTCAAATGTTTTTAGCAACTATTATGTGCATGAATGCATCATAGTTAAATATGATAGATAATTAATATTCCTGATATCACGTAAAAACAAAGATAAATTTAGAACATTAGCCTTAAATCAAACTCAATCCATTCTTATCCACCGCTTCTACTTCTTCTACAATCGATCGACAACTCCACGTTTTTTTCTCATGTTTCAAGTTAATAGATTACCTTCTTGAATGGCACCACTAAAACACCTTGCCGCCATCGTATCTACTACCAACACCACCATTTTAGTCCGTCTGTTCTTCCACCTGCTCAATCAATAAGACTGTCGCCGCCAAAACCCTATGGTATGATGTCCATAACCATCTCTCTCCCTCTTTCTCACAAATACACGTTCTCATTGATTCCAATATGCAATCGATTCCCTATATTAATTTTTTTCTGTCGATATCAAGTTTTGATAATGATGGAGGTAAGGAAATCTAGGAAAGGAGGGCGACAATTGTTGAAGGTGGTATGGATGCATTGATTTTTTTTTTTTTTTTTTTTTTTGTGTGTTATTTATTCATTTCTCCATAACCAATTTTGATTCCAATATGTGTTGAATTTTTTTATGCACCTGGGGCTTTGACAGGGAAGTTGTTCTAATATTATATGTAAGTGTTTAATTTTCCCTAATTTTTTTACCCATTTGATACTATATTCTTGATTTTTTAAGATCCATCATATCAAGATGGTGAAGTCTTTATTCAATGATTCACTTGTACTTGCTCAACCTAAATTTTAGTAGTTCATCAACAAATTAGATGGTGAGTTCATCCAAATTCAGGCACATAGAATTATAGAATAGTTTCAAATAACATATAAAATAATTACTTTATCATGTTTGTATTCTATCTTGTAGAATTTGATATTTGAAAAAGTCATTGGTGAAAATTTTATCTATTATCTTCCTCATGAATATCAAGCACCAAAGGAATAATCTTCAATTAGTAGCAGTAGCAAAATCGCCTTAGTATCTAATATGATGAGGGTAATTCTGCCATAATGGAATCACGAATTCCAGTTATGTTAGAATGAAATCTTGGATTCCAATGTTTTGTTCCAATTCAACCTAATCATTGAATTTTGTATAAGCTATCATGTCTAAAACTTGTTATTTTTACTGCACTTACTCATTTGTTTGTGCATTTTCTTGAATTTTTACTTATGGGTTTTTGGTGTAATTCACAACTTTCATTCTATGAGAATATAAATATTACGTAAAATATATGTTACTAGTAATTATGACAGAATACATTTATACATGCTTTAGAATGTTTATGTATATAGAAGATAAGACTATGATTTACGTTCATTATGTATTGTATTCTGTTAGAATTTATTTATATAAATGCATTCTGTTATAATGTCTTTGAGAATCTTTGTTAACAAGTACATTTGTTTAACTGGTAACACTAACGAGTAATGTATCTTAGTCTTTCAGAACTCCATGGAGAATGAATTCAATATTGATCATACAAGAGAAATATTTGGAATCGAGTTCAACAAAAAGTATATATGTGAAGATCAAGTTGATTATATGGACCATTCAAGATGATCAAGTGTATTTGTTCAATAATTGTATATTTAAGAATGCTATTGTTTAAAAAAATTATTCATTTTTGATGATATTCTGTTAGAATATATATATATATATATATATATATATATATATATATATATATATATATATATATATAACTATATTAAAATGTATAATGATATTAGTCCGTAAGAATATGTGTGAATTTGTATTTAATTTCGGATATATATTAAGATTAAAATCATAGATCCAAGTTGGATGTATATGAATAATGTTTTATTCTTAAATCAAGTCAATTATCAAATATAACTGCATTGGAAATGTATTCTGCAATAATAAAACGAAAAATATATTTACTCGTTTATGGTTGATATTCTGTCATTCTGACAGAATAAAATTAGATTTTTAATTTTTAATTAATTTAAAATTTCCAGATTTAAAAAAAATTAATTATCCTTTAAATTCCGAAAATTTCCTTTTTTAATATAGGTAAGTTGACCAAAATACCCTTATGCAGAAAATTGTGTGATTATATGATGCATGTTACCCTATTATATATCATAGACTTTCAGATCATGACATTTGATAATATTCCATCCAGTGGTCCAGATCTGTGCATTTTGATACACAATAGTTAGTAGAAACAAAATACCATAAGCCTACAAAAAATAAAATAAAAATAAACTAGTAAAAAAAATAAAAATAAACTTTAATCTTTACTAGAGTTATAAAAAAAAAAAAATTGGATCCCTATAATCGGTTTCGCTTTGTCTGGTAATAACAATAAAAAAGAACGTAACATGTTCTCTTTGATTTTGGAGATTTGTAAGAAATATTGAAGTTGGTAATCGATAGTGGTTAAACATGGAGGGGGTGAGAGTGGTCTTAAGGTGATAATTAAAGGGATGGGAGGACATCGAGGGTAGGGAGCATATATAATCGAGGATTGGTTAGGGGATTAGGCTTAGAGATTCATAAGAAATATGTTAAATTGTCAATAACTTTTTGGAGTATAAATACTCGTAGTAGTGCATACTTTTATATAAAATCTTTTCTTTTGAATGTTATTATATATATTATTTTGTTAATAATGTTGAAGTTGAAATTCGTATATAACAATTTTTACATTTGGTTTTAGAGCATCCATAATGGTGAGTTCAATGGGGGTTAAATGAGGTGACAAATCTATATATCATTCAATAGATGGAACTCTACCATTGTGAGATGTCATCTTGGCATTTAATAGATTTGCATTTCAATGGTCATTAATATAACATCCATAAAATTCATGAAAAAATTTAAAACTTTTTCAAGCATTCAGAAACCAATATTTATTGTAACATCCCAAGCCCAGGTATACCTTGTAAACCTTGATCGTATGAGGATTGGTCCATTTTGGCCTTATTAGAGAAAAGGTGGTAAATGAGTATGCGTGGCGTACTAGATTGTACGCTCAGTGTACTCATATGCGTGCATATGATGCGGAGGCCACCTAGTACGCTGGGCGTACTAGACCCAAATTGTTAACCCTAATTGTTAGTGAGTCCCCTATATAAAGGATATAATGGCCTCATTCCTGCCCACCATTCCCAAACACCAAACCCTCCCAAACCTAATTCTTCGTCCTTATAGCTTGAGAGTGAATTTGAGAGCTTGTGAGTATATTCTTGTGTTCTTGAAGTGGAAAAGGAGTCTTGAAGAAGAAGGAGTGGGATTCCAGGCTTTAGATCTGAGCTTATCAGGGGATGGAGCTTCATTTTGAGGTATAAAGCTCAAAGCTTTCTCACTCGTTTGATTTGTGCATCTACATAGTGTATTTTAGGGTTTTGTCCCAAAAGATGGAGACTTTATGAGATAATGAGCTCCAGAGACCATGACCAACCGCTTTTAGTGTATTTTGTGGAGTAATGCCATAAAAATCTAATCTTGGACGTTAGAAACAAGCCAGACATGAGATATGAGCTTTATGAGAAAAGAGAATGAGTGTTTTGGGTGTTTTTGACCAAGTCAGCCATGCAAAGTCTTAAAGTCACTGACTTTATGAAGTAAGAGACATTAGAGAGTCCAGATCTGCGATATGAGCCAAGGTCTTAACTTATTCAAACCAAATATGTTAGGAGGGTGAAATTGGGACTTACGTTGGGCGTAATCCTAGTACACGCGGAGGGTCTCCATTGGAACACATTGACCAAAGGGTCGTATTGAGTTATCCTCAGGTGGATAATGTGATATCTATGGTATTTTGTGGAACTCACTAAGCTTTGTGCTTACCGTGTTATGTGTTATGTATTTCAGGCACTTCTTCGGATCACGAAAAGGCGCCGACCTGATTGTACACAAGTCAAAAAGAAATGATTTTTCTAAAACGAGAAAGAGTTTTAAGAGAAAAAGAGTTGGAGCGGTGTGTACAATCAGCTAGAGCCCGAACGGTGATTTCCCAAAATAGCTTACTTTTGTGTTATGCAATACTTATGACATATTTTACTAGAAATTCATGCTAGAGGGTAGGCTAGGTATTTCATATTCTAGGGCTAGAGTTTCCTGATTTGTTATGCCTTAGCCTAGGGAATGCTTTGATCAGTGTTATTTGTTATTTGCTTGAGTATGCACTGAGTTCTGAGTCAAGAGATAATCTAGGAAGAGATACTTAGATGAGTTTAATAAGGGTCTTCTAAGAGAGTAGTTTGTGATTTGTGAGATATAGAGTATTTGTGAATTGGAATCCTAGGAGGAGGACTTGTGGTGACTACAGATGGGGTGTGGAAGGTAATATTGGGCCCGTACTACTGAAAACACTGGATCTATAAGTAGT